GTGCTTTTATGATTTGTGTACTTTCCTCTATGTCCATATACACAATCAAAACTTTCCTTAAAAATCATTTTTTTAAAGATTTATTTGACAGCGAGAGAGTGAGCCAGAGAGCACATATTGGAGGGTGAACAGCAGAGGGAGAGGAAGAAGCAGGCTCCCCACTGAGCAGGGAACCTGATGTGGGACTCGATGCCAGGACCCGGGGATCATGGCCTGAGCCAAAGGCAGACGCTTAACCAACTGAACCACTCAGGCATCCATAAAAATCATTTTAAGTAAGATAGTTAGAGGTGGGTAGTTTAATAAACATTTATCATGATAATTCACCTTGAGATAAGGTACTACAAAAACTTAAGAAACTAATAAATGAGGGTCTCTGGGCACTAAATAGAAGTGGGTTTTTTTCTTTTTGTCTTATAAAAATAATTGATGATAGAATGTCTTTCCTTCCCTAAGTATTTAAAATAAGATTTGGGGCACCTGGGTCGCTCAGTTGGTTAAGCAACTGCCTTTGACTCAGGTCATGATCCTGGAGTCCTGGGATTGAGTCCTGCATCGGGCTCCCTGCTTGGCAGGGAGTCTGCTTCTCCCTCTGACCCTCCCCCTTCTCATGCTCACTCTCTCTCTCTCATTCTCTCTCTCTCTCTCAAACAAATAAATAAAATCTTAAAAAAATAAACAAGATTCTATTGAGACATAAAACATTTTCAGGGTCATGGCCACAAGAGAGGCACACCTGAATTTTAAAAATGATTTCCTCCCTCTGCTCTTCTTTCCATGGCTTTTGTAGGTCTAGATAAGTGAACCACTCAGAATGTAAATGTTTTTAAACCATTTTGATTGGATGTGTACTGGCAGGAGCTGGAATTTGGCAAGGAGGCTCCAGTAATCTTGGAAAGTTTCAGTATCTGGTTCTGTGTCCAATGGGCAATGACTTCCTGAGACTCCTTCCAGCTCTAGGATGCCAGAATTTTATGAGATAGAAAGAACACTTTTATGAAACAAAACAAACAAACAAAATTAGAAACAAAATTTGAGAAAAGTCAAGTAATGCCCCAGGAATAAAAAGGGGACTATATATGTGTGTGTATATATACACACACATATACATATACATATACATATACATATACATATACATATACATATACATATA